GGTTAGGAAAACAGTTTCTTAATTTCACTTCTTTCCTTCTCCGCTAAGTAGATTCAAATATAAAAAGCTATCTCCACTTGTTTTCTTTCACTGTCTTCTTGATCTTCATTGCTGCCTCACATATTTTCTTATGCAACCCATGAGATTCACCTTCAAATGGCTTCACCAATGGTTCGGTCCTCTTTTTCGTTTCTCAACATACTTTTCAGCCATTGATTTCATGTACTACTACAACTTAGTACCACTTATCACCTAAACTTGGATTTTTTTTGCAGATTGCATCATGTTGGTAAAAGCCACTACATATTCTGGTATCTGCATTTTGTCTCTCAACCACTAATTGAGGAAACCCAAGTTCTAAACCAGCTGGTATATATATTTCAATCACTATGTCTTTTATTTCTTTTCTTTTCCTTTTTTCACCTTGATTTTTTCTTCTCTCAAAACCTTGATTTTAATATAAGTTTTGCTAACTTCATCACTAAATTATTTAAGCTTAGTATATATTATATATATTTTTTCTTTGAATTATAACCTTTCTCCTCATTCTGCTCCAAAATAATAGGTTTTAGAATGCTTTTCTTTTCTAGTTTTTACTTTTATTGTATATTCCTTGAAAATCTTTGAAGCAACTAAAAAGTATATATCCGAGCAATTTGTGAAGAAGCCTTTTGCTATATTTATCCTTATTAAAGTCATTCTTAGTCATTTGGAGAGAATTGTAATTATTGTCTTTTTTAAATTAACTATTTTACAATTGATTTTTGTCTCTTTTTTTAAATCTACATATGACAATATATCTTCTCTTTTTTCTTTTTTTTTTTTAGTTGGTAATATCTACTACTTATTCAAGGTCAACTCAGTCATAGCAAGCATATTTAGTTCTCAATGTACCACATAAATGGATGTGTTTGATTTTATGAAGCTCTTTGATGCATTTCACTATATAAATAAATCTATGTATTATATCTTTGATGCATTGTTTTAGTTGGTAGTATCTTCTCAATTATGTTTTGACTTGATAATCAAAATTTTCAATTGTTTTTTCTCATTATCCTTTACAGATCTAAGAGTTTTTAGGTATTTTTAACTTAAAATTTCTTTAGGAGGCAAGTCATTCCTTAAGTCAACTATTGTTTTCTTTATTCTTTATCTTTTAGTTTGAAAGTGAAATGGAATTCATATAAGTAAATTCCCGGAATTTAATTAAATTGAATTTTCATATTTATTTAACAAATTTTTAGTCTCTTTACTATAAAGTATAAATTAAAGCAGAATTAATTTCATTTCTCTTTTGCAGATT